TTGGCATAAAGTTACTATTTTTAGACATTTTAAGGTTTTTTTTAGACTATTTTTAATTTTTTAAAAAGTAACGCTTTTTGATAACACTCAAATGAGATTTAAGGTCATTTAAAGCAATAAAAATAATTTAAATTGAGAAGTGGAAATCATGGTCTCATTTGGAAAATGTGACAAGAGTAGACAGTAAGTCTCACTGAGACAGTATGAGACTACTATCTAATGATAAAACCGTGTAATGAGATCAGTCGAATTGGTAATCAGACTATCAAAAAATCTGATCCTGGTCTCAGACACGGTCACACGGTCAGTCTAGACTTATATATGAATCAGATCACAGAAGAAAAAGAAATTCAGAGTTGAATTCAACTGTTTATACCAGTTCAATCACAGAGACTACAGAGGACAAACTATCTGAAACATCTGTGAATGTGTGAGATCAAGTCATCTCAATCTCTGAGAATGCTCAGAGATCAGATGAGATTAGTTTCAATGAGCTGTTTGCTGTAGTAGTCTGAGCAGGTGAAGAGAGACAGTATAATACATGAGACAGAATCACAAAAGATAGAAGCTGCTGAATCTAGTCACTGAACACTGTATCATATAGAGATTATGTAAGAGTAGTGACTAGCAGATAAAGAAAAAGTGTAAGAAAAGAGATAATGAATTGATCATCAACTGTAAGAGTCAGATGTAAAAGACAAATATTATCATATATATCTCATTCATTTTCATATATCACATGTTAATCTATTTTCAAAGCCACATCACTTGAAAAACATCAAAAATAAAGAAAATCTCAAAACTTGAGATCTGCAAGAAATTCAAGAGTCATAAGTCACTCTTATAACAACACTGCATATATCTCTGATTTCTCTACTGCTCTGTGTATGACATTAATATCATTTATCACAAGATTGACTGGAATGCCAATATAGAAATATGTACATGTATACATAGAGAAATTGAAGAAGAGCACAGAACTCACAGAATTAGAAGCTAAGAGAGAAGAAATAAAGACAGAAGAAATGAAAGAGAGAGACATAGAATCAGATAAATAATGAGAGTCACTCAGAGCTGAACACTTATAATCTGATATGCACACAGCCTTCTCTGCAGAGAAGAAAGAGAAAGTGATAGAAGAAGCTTGAGAGTGAGAGAGAGTAGTCTCAGTGATATTATCATCTTTGATCAGAATGATCTCTGATACTGAAGTAACTAAGAATCATTGTTAGTGTATGAAAATTGCAAAATCAGAGATGAGAACAGTTATCAAATGAACACCTGCTGATCTTAAAGTTGTACATGCAATTACAACACACACAAGACTTCTCAGAAAGAGAGAGAGAGACATGAGAAAATGCAGAAAGCAGAACACAGTGTGTGAACAGCTCATTCTCACAATAACATCTCAGACAAGATGTATGAGCCTCACATCTGTGAGTGTAAAAGAGTATGATATTCATGTTCCTGTTCTCAAAAACACAGATATCTTTTGCCTGTATCATGAAGTCAGATGACAGATATCAGAGAATAGACTGATACAGATCTATCATTCTGAAGAAATTCATTAGAGCAGATGTCTCTGTAATATTAAACTTTACAATTATGAAAAGCTTCTTAATATCTGTAAACATTATAACTTCATACACAGTAAAACTCATAATAATTTTCTCTAAGAACAGAAAAATCAGTGTTAGAAAGAAAAGATGAAAAAGAAAAAGATTTACAATCTCAACACTGTTAAGAGAGAGAGAGATTCTCTGATATGAATAAATAATTATCTCATCATGAATATTTAAAATGAATATAATAATCAGTGTTTATAACTGAGCTTCAGATAGTTATATTATACACAGTCTTCATATAATAAATTATTCTGAGAGTTGATAAGAAGAACAGAAGTGTATATACTGAGAGACATAATTCATTAAGTCTATACAATATCTTCTTGAAACAGAAAGAGCTGGTCACAAAAGCAGAGACAGTAAAACTAGAAGTGATAGAAGTGAGAATCACAGAAACAGAGATAGCAGAAGTGAGACAATCAGACACAGAGACAGGTGTAGAAGATTGAGAGAAAGTAGTAGAGAAAGAAACAGAGAGAGTAGAGAAGAATATAAGAGATCTGATCACACATGATACAGACAATTTCTTCATTATTACATTCTTTAAGTTCTCAATCAATGATTTAATATTGAGTTCACTATCATCAGTGAATACAGATCTGTCAACATGTGAAGATTCTACATAAATAAAAACAACATATCAGCATTTGTGTCTATACAAAATCATGCCAGAAAACACAATCAGAAACCTGCTGAGAAGAGAAACAGTTAAGAGTGTATAAGAAGGTGAAGAGAGCATATAAGAAGATGAAGAAGATATATCATTCATGATAGTATATTCTGATAATCATTAGAAGATAAATAAGTTCTGATCATGTTTTACAACATATTACACTTACTGCTAACAAACTGCCTGATATAAGTACTATAATGATGCTTGTTGTGAGAACAGGCGGCCATTGCCAGAAATGTGTATAATATAATAGATGAACAGATAGAAAGAGTTGAATAGAAGAAGAAATAGAAATCTTGAATGATGATAATATTCAATGATGATAATAATGAAGAAGATGATTAAATAATGAGAAAAGTTAGTGAATAAGTGATGTAATATAGTGAAAGTTTCTTTATAAGAGTGTATGCAGAATACTAGTCAAATCAGAAATAGATCACATAATTGTGAAATGCTAGTGATGAGCTAATCTGCATGAAGCTAGAGTGTATGACATGATCATGTGAGCGTGACTGAATCTGATAAAGAAGGATGTGATTTGAAAGAATATACAACTGTTGAATAATAACACAGCCACTTCTGAACTACTAGCATACGAATGTAAAGAGAGGCCATAGCGGCCACTAATTAATTTAGTGTACGATATTACAATATATAAGAAGCCGGCGTACGCCTGTAATTGTACACTGACTTAAGCAACCTTTGAATCACATCTCTCTGAAGAGAAAAGCTTGAATCTCTTATAGACTTGCAAATAAGTGAACTATCTAAAGAGAAAGAATATGAACAGCATTTAAAGAGAATTTCTACAATTAATATAAAAGACTCTATTCTGATTTATTCAGATGACTTAAAAAATGAGAATTTGAATAGATTAGACACAGACATTGCTTATTCTGAAGATAATATCAATTTTATCTCAGATTTCTGAAATTTAGACTGTGAATCTGAAGTCTTTGATGCTGAACTATTTGTAATAGTGAAAGCCTTCAAACTTATTGAAATAAAATCTCATAAAGAGAAAATAGTTTGAAAGAGGTATGAATATTCTCTGATAGTCAAGCTGCTTTAAAAAGACTTAGAAATAGTCAGATTCATAATAATTAAATGAATCTTGAACTGATCTTAAACTCTATTTTGAAAATTCAAAAGAGAAGAATATCAAAGCTAATAATTCATTTACACTGAGTTTCTACTTATATAAATATTCATGACAATGAATTGACTGATTCAGCTGTAAAAAAGAGTGCAGAATTAAGCAGATCTATTCAAAAAATTATATTCTAGTCTTTTATAAAGAGAAAAATAAAAGAATCTTGTTTAGAAAAGTAAAATGAAAGCTAATAGAAACAAAAGAAGAGTATACATTATTCAAGATTTGAAATAAAACTCAAGTGAAAATCTTGTTTAATTAAATATAAAAAGAAAATATTCTCATCTATAATACAGCTGAAACTAGAACATAGCTATTTCAAATCTTATATACAAAGATTTGATAATAGATTTGATTTAATAGAATACTCATTCTACAATATAAATGAGAATTCTGAGTATATTGTAATACACTGTGTATTATATAATAGTCTCAGAGTCAGATTGAAAGAGAAGTATAATTTAAGTTAATTAAATATGAGATTCTTATTCTCAACTGAGATAGGAATTAAATACTTAATAGACTTTCTATCAGAAACTCAAGCAGCTATAAGAAAATGACTGAATTTAGAAATATCTGAATATGAAGAGGAGAAAATTGATCAGATATAGTCTGTTAAAACAGCTATATACTATCTTTTAATAATTTGTTTCATTACAGTCTCTCTTTATTTTATCTTACTTTTTTCTTTCTATTCTTTTCTATCTATCTATTTAATGTGTCTATCTTTAAGACTGTGTTCTCTTTTCTTTTGTCATGATATTATCAAATGATTTCAAAGTATCAGAAGATGTTAAAACACTGTAATTTATAAACAGTTTTTGTATTCTGAGCTGGAATTTTCTGATTTTATATATCTGAAATTGATGAATGTATAATATGTGGTTCGGAAGAACGTACGACTGTCGGATAATAACGCGGCCGCTTCCGAACTACTAGCGTACGCGTACAAGTGTAAAGGGGCCATAGTGTACACTAATTAATTTAGCATACAAGATTATAATATAAGAAGCCGGCGTACGCCTGTAATCATACACTGGCTTAAGCAATCTTTGAATCACATCTGATAGCATGTCTAAAAACTGGTGAGAAGCACAGGCTCCTTCAGAATGTGATAATTCCATCTACAAAGTGATTCATAGTTATCATGCCAGTGTGGTTCTAGAACATCTCAAAAGATAGCATACAAAGAGTGATGAGTGAAAAAGCATTCAATTGATGCTGCTTCACTTGTTGAGGAAAAACTCCACACTCAGGCAAATGCCACATATGTGAATAGATGAGATGTGAGAAAGAGAATAAGAGCAGTGAACCAGATTTAAAGAAGTTCACTCTCTACTTAAAAGAAGAATAAAAGAAAGAGATGATCATCACTGAAGTCATACAATGATAACAGAAATCATATAACAATATAGCAATAGAACAATATATCAATATAATAACACAGTGATAATGATAGACATCATATAATCAATGAGAAATCACTGAAATGAATATCTCTTCTAGCTGATATGAATAACATTCTTCTCTGCTACCTGAACTGAAAGATATGCAGAATCTCTCAGAGGGTTTACTTAAAGCAGTAAGAAAAGCAGCTGAAATCACTGAATCAGAATTGAAGCTCTGTACATGTACAAGAATTCTAAATGAGATTGAGGTCTTACATATGCAGTGACAGGCTGAGATGAAAGTTAAACAACAATTGACATTCACTGCAGATCAGACATTCACTATGAAGAGCTTCATCAATGCAATTATCATCATCAATAAGAATAGAGAAAATCAGATCTTAGGCCTGCAACAGAAGATTAAACATTTACACAGACAGATGACTACATCAAATCTGAAGATCTCATCACAATTGTTCATAACCTCTTCAGAAGTATACACATCATCAGAGATCACTGTGCAGGATGAGAATCTGAGTATGAAATACATTAAGTCAGAAGATCTGTCAGAGCTATCAAGCTTCAATGATAACTGAAAAAATAATGCTGTAATCAGCTGGCTAAGTCAGATGTGATCACATTATCAGATTAAACATGAACTCACAGACAGGCAGTCAACAGAATTTCAACAAGTCTTAAGATCTGTCATGTTTCTACACAGAAAAGTAATGTCATTATAAATGACTGATGAAAAGATGAATCTCACAGACTCAGAGTGATATTTATTCTCATGAACATGAAATGAGTTTTTCAAATGAATCTTGCACAACTTTGAGAAAGTGAATATATAAGATAAGTGTTATAAATACTTCACTGAGTGTAGACAAGTGAGTAATCTTATATTATACTTTACATACTTCAGCTTACACTATTTCATATTGAATGAAGAGCTTTTAACATCATTCTATTTACAGATCTTCATTCATGATCTTACATCTAAGTTGAGAGCAGAATGAAAATGCTTAATCTCACAGTCAGACACAGTGAAGAAAGCATACAACATTCTCATTGTACAGAAACAAGCAAGTCAATTACAACAGAAAATACTGTAATTAAGTATATCTCAGCAGAGAACAGATAATCAGACTTCTATAACACAAGTTATACACTCAGATGCAATGAATCTAGATCTGAATATTATCACTAAAGTACTGAATTCTCTGAAAAAGAAATCCTCTGAGTGAAAATCTTGATATCATGAGCATCAAGCTTGTTTCAACTGCAGATGTCAAAATCATGATGCAAAAGATTGCACTCAGCATGCACAGTTAAAAAACTAGCAGAATCAGTGAGCTCAGAGACACTCACTGATATTCTATGAAAAGTCTTCAAAGTGAAAGAGATGTCTGTATTAGATGATTCTCTGAATTCTGCAAACACAAAGAGAAAGCAGGCTTCTGACTGAGATGTGAATGAGAAAGTGAATGCTCATCTCAATGCCTTGAGACCTGAAATATTAATGTATAAGAAGCACTTGAGTAAGAATTGAGAGATGGCTGCAAAAATGTTAGCAGACACAGAAGCTTCTATACAATATATTGATGATTATATAATCTGAAGATTGAAAGAAATTCACTGAGTGAAGAATCTCTGATATATAAGATTATCTAATAATCAATATTTGATATCATCTGCAAGAGTAAGAGTTCCCTTGCACTTTGAAGAATGATCTTGCTATATTTGAGTGCAAGAGCTGCAGAATGTGGAATACAATCTTATTCTCAGACTTAATTGATTTCAAAGGTTCAATTCACAGATTCAATGATGTACATGTCATATGCAGTTGACTGATAGAAAGAAAATGATTCATACAATTCTATCAACTGATATGAGAAGGACATTTCACACCCCTGATATAGAAGAGTTAAATCTGCTTATATATTAACAAGCAAAGAGAATGATTCATAAGATCTCATTCAAAAGTATTCTGTATGTTATACAGAACTCAGAAGCAGAGGAAATCAAGATAAAGAATATGCAGGAGAATAAGTGTATGAAGAAGCTTCTGAAGAAGTATAGAAAGATCTTCTGAACAGATCTTTCACTGAAATTGCTGCTGAAATGAGAATTCATATATGAGATTGACATGAGGGATGCAAAACCAGTCAATCAGAATGCATACTCTCTGTCATAAACACATCTTAAAGAACAGAAGTGTCAGATCACAGATCTTCTAGAACATGATCTCATACAACTCTCATCAAACATATGAGGCTTTTCAGTTCTATTCATGAAAAAGGCAGATGAAGAGTGATGAATATGTATTAATTATCAAGCACTTAATAAGCTTATAATCAAGAATGAATATTCACTGTCACAGATTCAATAACAGTTGAATACAGTTGAAAACACTCAATATCTATTAAAGATCAATCTTCTCTCAGAATACTGACAGATTCATGTAGATGAACTGTCAGTCTCATGAACTGTATTTAATATATAATAGAGAAAGTTCAAATTCCTAGCAATGTCATTCAGTCTGATAAATGCACTTATCATCTTTTAAATGATGATGAATATAATTCTTCATAAATAGAATGAAATCTCATGCCTCATATATCTCAATGACATTCTAGTCTTTTCAAACTCATATAATAAATATCTGAAGTATCTTGATGAAGTGCTTATAACTCTGACAGAGCATAAGCTCTACATCAAACTAATCAAGTATGTGTTTGAAATGAAAGAGTTGAAGTTCATGGAACATGTAGTGAGTGATGACTGTATACACCTTATTCTGGAGAAATTGAATGTCATAGTGAATTGATCATGGCTGAGAAACATACATCATGTACAACAGTTTCTTGAATTGATCTCATACTATTACAGGTTCATCAAGGATTTCACACAAATATCTGCACCACTCTCAGATCTCTTAAGAGAAATGAATGCAAATCTGTGAAAGAAGAAGTTTTATTCAATTATCTGAAATACTGCATGCAAAGAGGCTTTTCTCATACTGAGAAAATATGTAATAACATTCTCAGTGCTTATTCAATCAGATCATGATAAATCTTTCTACATTGAGACAGACACATCTGAATGAGCTATCAGAGACACTCTTCTACAGATGAGTAAGAATGACAAGCTGTACCTGATGACATATAATAGTAGAAAACTATGAGGCGCTGAGCTCAATTACTCAGTGTATGAAAAGGAATTGCTAGTAATCAAGCACACACTGGTGTTGTGAGATAGATATATTAATAACAGGCATACAACAACAGTGATCACAGATCACAAAAGCCTTATCTATTTACAATTAACAATAAAATCTTTCAAACACTTAGCATGTTGAATCTCAGAGTTTCAAGCATACAATCTTCATATTAAATACTGAAAGGGATTGAACATTATGATGTCTGACATAATCAGTCACAGACCTGATTTCATAAGTGAGGGTTCTGTAAATCAGGTATAAGAAATGTTCACATTAAACACACTGAGAGAATGCAAGAAATCAGAATGAGTGAATATCATAATCTCTCACTTAAAGAATGACAAGATGTCAGATAACAAGTGTCTCATAAAAGTAGTAGAAGAGATACTTTCAAACTTCAAGCTGAGAAAATTGAAAAATAACATTGTGCTCTATCATGATCTAGAATATGCAAAAGCTCTCTATCTAGAATCTTCATTTAGACATGACTTGATAACTCACATGCACAAGAAATTCAGTCACTTAGAAAGCTCTGAACTCATGAGCATACTCAAATCAAGAGTGTACTGGCCAAGCATGGCTGAGAATATTCAGATATACACTCACAAGTGTCTGAATTGCCAGGTTGTGAAAGAATCTAAGAAAGAATTAGAACATGAGAAAGCACAACATCAGATGAAGTATATGATATAACTATTCAAATAATGAGAGATGAATCTCATAGACATATTACTGTGAATGTCAAATGAAAATCAATGAATAATCACTGTTATTGATTACACTACTGACTGGTCAGTCATGAAAGCAGTTTCAGAGATAACAGAGGAGATGATGATGAAGTTTCTATATAATGAGATCTATATCAACTATGAAATGTCACATGAGATTCTAACTGATAACAGTGTGAATCTTGTGAGAGGAGTAGTGAGGCATTTCATGAGTCAGTTACAGACAAGACATTATAAAACAATATCATATCATCTGTGAATAAACAGGAAGATGAAACACTTGAATGAAATCTTGAGCAACATGCTGACAAAATATCTAGTGAGTAAGCCTATAAGACTATGAAATGAATATCTCAGACAGGCGCTATTGACCACACAGATTCAACAGCATGCAGTCTTTAAGTATTTATCATTCTATCTGTTGTATGAATTGCATCCGCGCATCCTGAAGAATGCTTCAGAAAAGATAGAAGAGAAAACAGCAGTTGCAGACACAACAGTTATGAACACAGAATCAAGATTGAAAGAGATCAGTCACACACATACAAAAGTGAATGAGTTACTCCTGAACTGAGCAATTCAATTGAAAAGAATATGAGACTCACTAGTTAAGAAATCAAGTCTCAAGATGAGAATGTGAGTTCTCATACACAATGAGAGTTCTGAGAAGTTTCAATCTAGATGATTTGAGCTATATAAAATACTCAAATCACATTCTCTGAAAATATATGCATTGAAAGAACCAGAGGGACAGATCTTACATAACTTAATCAATGATTCATAACTTGTGAAAGCAAAGATGCAAGACCTGAGCAGATTATAATTATTCACAGCACTATTATCAGCATTGAAAAAGAAGAGACTTATAATTGAAAAGTCTTGCAAAGTAAGAGAAATCATAGACACTTATAAATTAGATAATCTCACTTATTTCAATCTTTTCACAATTATAAGGAAAGAATGGGAAGAAATGAAGAAATCAGATAAATATCACACTTCAATAAGTAATGAGACTGTAGCCAGTCATATAATAACACACTGCAGATAGTGAGTGCAATGTGACAAAGAGCAGTCTCAAAGCAGCAGACTTATACATGAGTCAGATCACAGAAGAAAAAGAAATTCAGAGTTGAATTCAACTGTTTATATCAGTTCAATCATGAAGATCACAGAGGATGAACTATCTGAAACATCTGTGAACATATGAGACCAAGTCATCTCAACCTCTGAGAATGCTCAGAGATCAGATGAGATTAGTTTCAATGAGTCATTCACTGTAGTGATCTGAGCAGGTGAAGAGAGACAGTATAATGCACAAGACAGAATCACAAAAGATGAAAGCTATCAAATCTAGTCACTGAATGCTGTATCATATAGAGATCACATAAGAGTAGTGACTAACAGATAAAGAAAAAGTATAAGAAAAGAGATGATGAATTGATCATCAATTATAAGAATTGACTGTAAAAGATAAATGTTATCATACACATCTTATTCATTTTCATACATCACATGTTAATCTATTTTCAATGCCACATCACCTGAAAAAATGTCAAAAACAAAGGAAATCTCAAAACTCAAGGTTTGCAAGGGATTCAAGAGCTGCAAGCTGCTCTCACAATAACACTGTACACATCTTCAATTCCTC